TACAAAAAAATTATAATTTCAAAACTACAAGCTGTATACATTGATTTTCATGAACTGTTCATTACGGTTGGTGTGTTCCAATCGATTACGAAAGAATCTTTTGGTTTTAGGGCCACGGAGAATATGGATTACGGTTGGTGTGTTCCAATCGATTACGAAAGAATCTTTTGGTTTTAGGGCCACGGAGAATATGGAGTCGAAGAAGAAACGAAACACCACAACGTTTCTTGGAGGAAAGAATCGACCGCCATTGCGGAAGTAGAAGGAGACACTCCAAGAACAGATGCTCTTCTCCCGGCCGATGAAACGTAGAGTTAGCCAAAATTCTTCTCTTCTTCTACTTGTTTATTTCGGAATCTTAACTTCTTAGTTGAATTTCGGGTGATTGTTCATCAATTCTATGCCAGTCCGACTGAATTTTCCTGGTACTCTGTTTGAACGAGTAGATATCAAATGTAATTAACAAAATCCGGAGAGTTTGCTCCGAAAATTCCGACGAAAAAGCTTTTTTCATTGAAATGATGGAAGAAGCCGTCCACTAAGCAGACTTGCAATGGAATTTTCTTGTGGCGGATGGGAAGGTAGAACTTGCACTAGAATACAAGCGAATACAAAATCAAGAAATTTTGAGGCAGTTATTATCAAATGAATTATAAGCCATTAGTAGAGAAATAATGTGAAAATCTCTTTCTAGGAGAAGCTCAGGAGGGAAAGTCTAAAGTGGATAATATCTGCAAGCGGTGGGCTTGGACAACAAATGGTATTAGATCTGAACACCGGATGACATGTCAATGAGGAGGCTGAGCACAGAAGGAAGTGGACACGAGTCTGGTACGTTAACAAGGATGCTGGACCTTGGAAGGGGGTGAATTTGGGAGGTTCCACATCGATTAGAGAAGGTAACGAGTGCCAGCAAGGACACTGGGCTCTAAAGGGGAGTGAATTGTGAGATCCCACATCAGTTGAGGAGAGAAGGAAACATTATTTACGAGGGTATGAAAATTTGTCCTTAGTAGACGCATTTTAAGAACTTTGAGGAAAACTCTTAAAAGAAAAGTTCAAAGAGGACAATATCTACTAATGGTGAGCTTGGACTGTTACACCCCTCACTCAACGTTGACTATTATTTGAATTATTACACGAAAATATATTCATCCTAAGCTAGAACAATGAGAATTTACTTGTTATCTGCAGTAGTTTGCTTTTATTATCTAAAGAAGCAATTTGCTTCCATTTTTACGCTACGACTCATATGGTTATGAGGACGAAAGTCCCTTGTTTTTTTAAGGCTTTGAAATATTATACAGTGATAGAAAATAACCTTGCAGTTAAGCATCCACGTTGGGGCCAGGATATGCTGGTAGGCTCATTATTCGCTTGTCCAAGACAGGACCTCCAACGGTGAAATGATATAGGCTTTGAAAGTTTGATCCTTTCAACCCAAGTGTTTCGTGCACTGCAAAACAAAGCAAATGGAGGAAGGATTGAGGTATCACAGATATTTATCAACCCTAAAAGATATTCATCATAATACTCGAGGAATGTTTAAAACGTGTCTGATAGGGAGAGGTTTCCACACCCTTATAAAGAATGCTTTGTTCGGTTGATGTGGGATCTCATATTTCACTCCCCTTAGGGACCTAGCGCCTTCGCTAGCACACCGCCCGGT